TAAGAAATGATGAGCAGGTAGATTTCAGAAAAACTTGGAAAGACCTTACATGAACTAATGCAAAGTGAAGTGAGCAGAACTAGGAGAACATTGTTCCCACTAATAGCAACATTGCGTGATAATCAACTGTGACTGACTTAGCTCTTCTCAGCATTACAATGATCCAAGAAAATTCCAAAAGACTCATGATGTGGAAAATGCTATCTACATAAAGAAAAAGAAGTCATGGAGTCTGAATGCAGATTAAAGCATACTATTTTCACTCTCTTTTTTTGTGTTTTTTTTCCCTTTTGCAAAGTGTATTTTATTTGTTTGTTTGTTTTTGCAAACTGTTTCTTCCTTCACAACATGATTAATATGGAAATAGATTTTTCATGATTGCACAAATATAACCTGTATCAAATTGGCCACCATCTTGGCAGGGAGGGAAGAATGAAGGGTGGGAGAAAGAAATTTTGGAACTAAAAATTATGTAAAAATTCATGTTAAAATTATCTGTGCATGTAATTGGAAAAAAATAAAATGTTATTAGAAATGCTTCTAAAAAATGAAGAATTAACAAGAACAACAACATATTACCCAGAACTTAGATTTTCAAAATTTCCTTTTTGCATTTATCTTGAGTTTCCTGGGGTTTTTTTTTTTTTTGCTTCCTAGTTATTTTTAATTAAATTCAGAATTCTTGAAATACTCTGTTGTTGAATTGACAAAATGTTTAGAAATACATATTTTCCCATAAGGATTTATTTGATTGCATTCCAAAAAAAGAAAAGAAATAGGATGTCTAGACTCTTTTTTTGGTCATGGTTTTTGGGCAGTCTAATAATTCTTAAATTATCTCTCCTTGATCTATTTTCCAGGTCAGTTGTTTTTCCAATGAGATATTTCACATTTTCTTCATTTTTTCATTCTTTTGATTTTGTTTTTATCTTTAACTTCCACTTGTCCAATTCTAATTTTCAAGGAATTATTTTCTTCAGTCAGCTTTTCTATTTCCTTTTCCATTTGGCTGGTGCTACTTTTTAAGAAGTGTTTTTCTTCAGTGAATTTTTATATCTTTTTTCCATTTGGCTAATTCTGCTTTTTAAGGAATTCTCCTTTTCACTGGATTTTTGTGCCTCCTTTAACATTTGTCCTATATGTTTTTAAGGTGTTATTTTCTTTAGTATTTTTGTGTCTCCTTTACCAAACTATTTATTCTTTCTTACATCACTTTTATTTCTTTTCTTCATTTTTCCTCTCTCTTATTTGATTTTTTAAAATCCTTTTTGAGCTCTTCCATGGCCTAAGACTGGTTCACTTTTTTCTTTAAAGCTCTGAATCTGCTTTGATCTCATTGTCTTCTTCTGAGTTTGTGTTTTTATCTTCCTCATCACCATAGTAACTTTCTAGATCAGGTTTTGGTTTTTTTTATATATTAGTTTATTTTTATAGCCTTTTTCTTAACTTTTAACTTTATGTTAAAGTTGGACTCTGTTCCAGGATGTAGTGGGCCCTGTACTAAACTTCAGTTTTTTTGTGTTGCTGTGTTCAGAGCTAGTTCTGTAGGTTTCTAAGTTTCAGTTCTTCCAAGATGGTATGATCTAAGAAGGGGTGTGGTCACAGCTCTTCTGGCCTGTGGTCCGATCTGTAAGTGACCACAAGCACTCTTTTCTGCTCTGAAACTGTGATCAGTGTCCCTGCTCCTGCTAGTACTTTTCCTCCTCCTGAGTCTGCAACCCAGAACTGCAAATATGTAATGCAACAGATTCCTATACCCAATTCCAGTAATCTCCTTCTCACCAGTTTTCTAACCCCTTTACTCTGAGAGTTTCAGAAACCACCACCACTGCTACTGATTCAGTAGCCCCCAAGGCTTGCTGCTGGTTTGCTGTGGCTCAGTCTGGCATGGAGCAGCTTGCACTGAACCATACTCCACTATCACCCCAGTGAGGCAGACCTTTCTTCTCAACCTTCTAAGTTATCTTGGGCCAGAACATTGTTTCACCTCATTCTTTTGTTGGTTCTGTCACTACAGAATTCTTTTTGAGGTATTATTATAATGTTTAAAGGGGAATTTGGGAGACCTCAGTTAAGTATTTGCTTTTACTCTACTATCTCGACTCTGTCCCCTGACCTCTCTATAGATATCCTTCTTGATATCTTTATTTTTTTTAAATAGCAATTTAAAACCTCACTAGTCCACCCACATATTATTTTAAGCCATTACACAATGAAATAGTTATATAACATTTAGTTACAAAGTAATGCAGTAAACTTTTATGCTTGCCTTTTAAAAAAGAAGAACCAAATCAAGTCTTTTGTTGAATACTGAGAGTGGAGTTTGAGATGGGAGAAGGAATAACTTGGCCAGCCAAATAAAAATTTAGTTCCATAGTAATTAGGGGTAATGTACTGAAGCCATCCCGTTGGAGCATATGTGGACAAGAACCTCTGTTCTAGACCTTTGCTAAAATATATATGTGATCAGAGACTCTTTTTGGTCCTCTGTTGTGCCCTCCTGAGTGTGAGCTATGCCAAAGAAGGTGGATCTTTGAACCAAAAATAGCAGTCCTCCTAGTAGACTTTACTCAGTGACTCTATCCTCTCATTTTCTTTTTCTTCCTATCTTTGGAGAGTGTTGCTTGGGATTGAGGCAGTTTATCCCTCAAATTTCTCCCAGAGGAGATTGGCAGGGGTGGTGGTAGTGGTGGTGGGAGATTTTGCCTCTCTTGTCAACCTCAGCAACACTGGCAACTACACACCTTTGGCAGCAAGAATATATGCTTGCCTAGATGAGTATAAGATTGGATCACAAATCCATTGCTTCCTCTTCTGCTTTGGGTTTGTTTTACTGAGAACAGCAATCTTGAGATGGATATTTCTTACCTTGGTGGCTGCCTTGTGTAGTTGAGAGGTTGAGATCTCCTTGATATGGGCACTGGTTACCAGCAAAAAGTGATTTCAACAACAACTTCTCAAGAGGAGAAGGTGGGTGGTGTCAGGATGCTATTAAAGACTAAGATAGCTCAAGCCATGCTGTGGCTTGCCAGAAGATATGGACTTGTAAGTTGGAGACAAAATGGGTTAGAAATTGTCAACAGGAGCACAAGTATCCTGGGAAAATTTATCTGCTAGAAGTATATAATAGGAGTAATAGGTATCATGTTTTAAGTATTTGTAAATGCACACTTATAAATCTTTAGTGTTTTTGCATTTATTGGAAATAGCTTAAAAGATATAAATAACTGTCCTATAATTATTCTACTTTGTGCAGTACATTTCTAGAAAGGACTTTCTTAATTTCTTTTATGTAGATCTTGGATATGAGCTAGACCTACTCTTTGCTTATGAGATTTTCCCTGAGTTCTGCTCTGATTTAAAAGTGTAAGGAGAATGTGAGAGAAAAGTCAGTTATCCTTTCTTTGGATCTGCTGCCTTTGGATTTAATCCCTTCCACAGGAGTCCATTCTCTGTAGGAAGGACCTCACTTCTTCAACCTCAGGTCATGGGTAATTAACTAATCAAGTCATAAATATCATATTCCACTACATGCATGCTTTTCCTCAGAAAATGTGTGGAAAGCAAAATATTTGATAATGACATTTCTATTAATGCTGAATTTGTCAATTATTCCTGAGTCACATTTAGTGATAAAATGTATTTTAGGTGGCATCTATATCCAGGACAGAACAATGTGAGGATATGATTTCTCTATGGGATAAAGCTATTGCTAATTCTATTATTTTTAGAACTAAAAAGAAAGGGTTCTGATTTGGGAAGCAAAAGTAGAGGAAACTGAACATTTTATGTGAGCAACAGCAAGAACTGACAGATGGATTAGTCTTTGGCGTACTGGAAAAGAATAGAAAGTGTTTCCCTATAATTTTGCTAAGGAATAAGAGTTCTGAAATAAACAGGAAATCAAAGAGGAGGATATAGCAAGATCTCAACCACTTATGCTTTAAAAAGATATTTCTGTGTACAGATTGGCTAAACCAAGGCAGCAAATTTAGGAAAGGAGCTAACTATTTTGAGAGAGGGAGGGAGAGAAGGAGAGAGAGAGGGAGAGAGAGAGAGAGAGAGAGAGAGAGAGAGAGAGAGAAAATCATTATTAACATTCCATGCAATATACAGTTAGAGTGGAGACATGAACGGATGAATTCATGAGTTCTAAAATTTTAAATGGGACTTCACTGACTTGGATCATTGTGATCACTCATGTTATGCTGACGAGGAGATTCCTGAATGAAAGAATGGAGGGGGAAAAAACCTACTCTAAATGAAAAAAAAAATCTACTTCATTGGAGAAAAAGAAAAGAAATTATTGCTAAAATAAGAACAGAAAATTTAGCTATGTTTAATCAAGAATAAACTATTGCAAAACACTTTGGAAACTAACTTATGAAACTATGAAAAATAATTACACTAATAGCTCCCAAAGAAACAGAGCTGAGTTATTTGTTCTATGTAACTTTGTTTCTAAAACATCAGAATAAATTTTCCCCCTAGAATTAGTATTTGAAAGTAGAGAGCTACTTGAATTGGAGATGATCCTTTGAATTAGTTAGCCCAAATAAGAATAGCGGTTCGCAACTTTGATTTTCTTGTCTGAAAAGCAAACTACCTACCTCACAGGATTTTTTTTGTGTGAGTTAAGTGCTTTTTTAAGCATTAAAGTGATACATAAGTGTGAATAATGACTGTAATGGTGTATGCATATATATGTGGAAGACTGGATAGAGAAAGAAAGGAGGTCTTTTTTTGTTTGTTTGTTTGTTTGCTTTTTAGTGAGGCAATTGGGGTTAAGTGACTTGCCCAGGGTCACACAGCTAGTGTCAAGTGTCTGAGACTGGATTTGAACTCAGGTCCTCCTGACTCCAAGGCCCAAGCTCTCTCCACTGCACCACCTAGCTGCCCCTGAGGTTTTTTAATAATAGATAATAAGAAATGGACAAACTCTGTCTTTAGCATGATCACTTATAAAGCTTTTGGGAATTGCTTTCCATCTCTAGTCATACCTGGATTTGTTGAACCATATTTCTCAATTGCACCAGAAATTCTTTTGCTTCTTTGGCTCTATCTGATAATCCATTCAGAGCCTGGGAGAGCTGACTCTGCAAAGAGAAAGAGAAAATACAGCACTTGCCATCACTTGAAATAAATACTAAGCAAACTAAATCAAACTTCCTACATTTGTCCATGAGAATGAGGTAATTTCAATCAAAAGTTCCTCCTCTCCCACCCAAGGAACTTGCTCTATTGCAAATATTTTAGAGAGACTATCCTGAAATTCTGTTGTAAAGTATCAGAGTCCCACAGACATCTTGATATCTCATTCCTACAGAGGGATGAGCCACCAACAAGTCAGGTTTATCCAGTGGTCACTTTCAAGATCAAGTCACAAAGAAAACAATATACACAATGAATACAATGTAAATGGAAAGAACAACCACAGAGCACATGAAAATGAATGTTGCAAAATTCCAAAGAACAAACTTGAGCCCAAAGAAAAGATAAGAGAAAAGCATTTTCCCTTATTTCTTTACAGAGTTGAGGGGTCCGCAAGTGTAGAAAACTGCATATATTGTCCACTTTTTGATGTATTAATATGCTTGGCTGATTTTTTTTCCTCTTTTAAAATTTTTTATTAAATGGGATCACTATCTCAGAGGAGAAAGTGTAAGTGATATGGGATCTGCGGAAGTTTAGGCTATATAAAAACAAAATCTATTGCTACAATTATTTTTTAGAATCTAGTCATTATAGTAGTGCTACCATCCCCTGAACAGAAGAATATAGAATTTTAGAACTGGAAGAAACTTCAGCAATCATCTAGTCTAAATGGTACCCCAAAAGGAATTGCCACTATAACATCCTGAATAACAGATTGTTAAGTCATTCCTTGAAAATGTCTATTGAAGGATAATCACTACCTCCTAAGGCAGCCTATTCCATTTTTGGGTAGGTCTCATTATTAGAAAGTTTTCTCTAACATTTAAAAAATAATTAAAGTGATTTTATTTTCTAAAATTCTATCTTGAAATCAAGGAATTCATTTTTAATTTGCCTCTTTGCAACTTCCACCCATGACAACCCTTAAAATACTAAAGATGTCTATCCTGTCTCCTCAAGTCTTATCTTCTCCAGGCTAAATATTGCCAGTTTCTTCATTGTTATGAATATTCACTGAACATATTAAAGGCATGAACTCAAGAAGCTTCCACATCCTGGCTACCCTCCTCCTGACTCTCTCAACTCCTCCTTAAACTGGGGTACTTACAACTGAAGATAGAGCTCTACATGTAGTCTGACCATGGCAGAGAACAAAAGGATTATAATCACCATATTCCTGGAAATTCTTTAATGCAGCGCAAGCTGTAATTTTGATGGTTATAACTGACTGCTGACTTGTAGTGAGATTATAATCCACTTAACCCCTCAGATTTCTTTCAGAAAATTTGCCTAGCCATGCTTTCAAAAACATAGTCATCTGATAGTTTTCCTCAGTCCAATATAAATTTCTGCACCATTGTCTGCAAAAACTTCTATAAACTACCTATACCTTACTTGTCTGTCATAATCTTGTGCAACCAGTTTTTGAAGTTGATTTAAAAAAATAACCCAGATGTTTTTAGTAATCTCTATATTCCTTTCTTGCTTTAACTAACATCACTTTTCCACTTTCATTTCATTTTACTTTCCACTCCTTTCAATTACTGATCACCATCAATAGATGACAAAAGTAGAAATTAGTTAGTGTTGGAGGAATAATGGAAGGCAAGCCTGTTAATGTGTTGTAGCTGGAGGTTAAAATTATTCTGACCTCAGTAGAAAGCAAGTTCGAATTTAAAAAGTGACTAAAATGTCTATATTCTTGGACTTAAAGATCTTAATGCTAGGTTAATATACCACCAAGACCAAATATAAAAAGAAAAGCCTTATATATAACAAAATACTTATAGAAGTACTTTTTTTGTACCAGCAAGGACCTAGAAACAAAATAAATGCCCAGTAATTGGTAAATGACTAAACAACTTGTGGTACATGACCATAATATAGTATTCTTGCTCTGGAAGAAACTATAAATAGATGAATACAGAGAACTGTGGGAATACTTGGATGCATTTATGCAGAGTGAAGGAAGCAGAATCATGTAAACTATATGTAATAGTTACACACACATATGTAATAGTTATATACACATATATGTAATATATTCACATATATAAAGAAATTATATATGTATGTAGAAATTAGATTAAGAGCTAGTAATGTGCATATATGTATAAACACACAAATACAAGCATACATATGTTATAACAATATTAGTAGAAACCAAAGCAGCAGCAAGCAAGACAAACCTGGATGCTGTTAAATTATAATGATCAAATTTGGGCCCCAAAGAAGTGCAAGAAAATACTTCCTTGCCCCATCTTTGAAGATGTAAGGACTCTAGGTGTGGAAAAATGCATATAATGTCAGATTTTTAAAAGTGTGGATTAGTTTTGCTAAACTTTTCTTCTATTTTATTCTTTGTCATAATGAATACATAACATATTAACTTACAGATATATTTATATATAACATATATAAAGTATAAATATAAAGTAAACATACGCTTTTATATAACATGTTTCATCACCAAGACATACACATGTGTATACATTTACATATACATACACCCACATACATATATTTATATGTGTATGTGTGTGTATCTTCCCACTGGGAGAGAAATATGTTGGGAAATTTAGATGATATAAAAACAAAAGATATAATAATAATAATTCATTCTACAAAATTCTATTAGAACACAATAAATTAATCTAGTTTTCATGGATTAGTGCATTCCCTCCCAAACTACCTTGTACCTACATTGTACCTAATATATTTTTATTTATTCTATTTATTGTTATTTCTGTACTTAGTTTCTCCTCTTTAGAACATCAACTCTTTAGGAGTAAGGATTACTTTACTCATTGTAATTGTATCCCCAGTGCCTAGTGAAGTGCCTGGCACAAAGTAGACACTAAAAAAATGCTCATTGATTAGTGGATAACCTTTAGCAAAAAAGACAATCATAGCTCTGGTTGTCATACTAAGTTCAATAAATAGCATAAATTTATTTTTCATATTAAGAGAGCACCTGTAGGTAAGCTCAGTCATTTTGCTTGCATAAAAATTCCTCCAATGCATATAAGATACATTCAAAGTAAATTGGAGGAATAGAAGGAATAAAAATAATAAATAAGATCAATAAGATGACTTATAAGGTAGTGTGCTAATTTTGTTTAATGAAAGGGCAAGTCCTCATTAAATTCTTTTTTCAATGCCTTATTTTGACGTGTTAGTAACTCTAGGTTCTTGAAGGCTAGGCCAGTGAAGTAAAAGCTATGACAGGTTCTACCCATCTAGAAAGGATTCAAGTCTGGACTTGTGATGGACAGTGTATCTGTTGTTCAGGTACCAGCATAACCAAATAGACAGAGCTTCATCCCCAGGTCAGACAGAGGGTGATATATTCTTGCATGAAAGCAAGTCTTAAAGATTATGATATAAAGGGGCTGGGCTGGGGTATGTGTCAGTGCAGGAAAAACTCATGTGGATGAAATCACAGATCCTTATATTATTAAAGTAAGAAGTAAAAATGGAATTTAGATTAAGACCTAGTTATTTAAGAACTCTGACATTGTTCTAATTGTTTCTCTTGAAAAACAAGCAGCCCACATTTATTAAGTGCTTACTAAGAGTCAAACCCTGCTGTGCAAGGATACAAAGAAAAGAAACAAAAATAGTCTCTGTCTCCAAAGAGTTCATACTCTAATGAAGAAAGGAAATAACATGGAAACAACTATGTACATAGAAGATGTATGCAGGGCAAATTGAAGGTAATACAAGTAAGGATCTTGCATTAAAGAGGACCTGGAAAGACTTTTTAGATGTGGTATTTTAGTTGAGACTTGAAGAAAACCAGAGGCAGAGAAAAAGAGGGAGAAAATTCTGGGCATGAGGGATAGCCAGTGAAAATGCAGAGTTAGGAGATGGAAGAAGTGTTTTGTGTAAGGAAAATCAAGGAGGCCAGTGTCACTGGATCATGGACTATGTAGTAAAATGTAAGAAAATTGTAAAGGTAGCAAGGGGTCAAGTTATGAAGGGCTTTAAAAGCCAATTTTTCATCCTTAGTCCTAGAGGTAATAGGTAACCATTGGAGATTGTAGAATAGAGATGACAGGGTTAAACTTGAGTTTTATGAAGATCATTTTGACAGCAGAGTGGAGGATAGATTGGAGTGGGGATAGACTTGAAGCAGGAACACCAACCAAAGGCTATTGTAATAGTCCAGATATGCAGTGATGAGAGTCTGCACTCAAATGGTGACAGCGTTCGAGACAGATGTTTTGAAGGTAGAATTAACTGGACTTGGTAACTGACTGGACATAGAGGATGAGAGAGTAAGAAGCTGAGGATGAGTCCTAGGTTGTAAGCCTGCATAACTGGGAGTAAATGGTGCTCTCAACAGTAATAGGGAAGTTGAGAAGAAGGGAAATTTTTTTGGGAAAGATAGTAGTAAGTTTAGTTTGCACATTTTGAGTTTAAGCTCTCTATAGGACATACAGTTTGAAATATCAAATAAGTAGTGTTGTGATGCAATACTAGAGGTCAGGAGAGAGGTTAGAACTGGATAAATAGATCCAAAAATTATCTACAAAGACATGAAAATTGAATCCATAGTGAGAAAATTAAACATTAATTTAGTATTGTATTGATTCCATTGTGTAATTCTCTAACTTTCTAAGCCATGTTTCTTTGTTTCTGAGTTAAGTTTAGCAGTTCATGAGTCCAGAAGTTCAGTTTTCCCTCTTCGAGTTAGTTTAAAATCCAGTTGTCCTATAAATCATCTTAACTCAAAAAGAAATACTTCATCTCTAAACAGCCTTGCATACCAATGTACAATTAAGGGAGATCTTTTATCTTACTTACAAGCCTTGCAGAATGTAGGTTGGGCGCCAAGAAGTCTTGTTATTTCGGTTCAACTGACAAGCAGATGGACTCTATAAATCAACCTTTTCTGACAGCAGGATGAAAGGAGACATTGCTAGCCCCAAATGTTCTG